TTTTAAAATTAAAATTATTCATTTTTATTTTATGTGTATGAGTGTTTTACCTCACATGTATGTAAGTGCAGGTGCACCACATGTATGCAATGCCTATGGAGAACAGAAGAGGGTGTCTGATCCCCTGGAACTGGAGTTACTGATGATTGTTAGCTGCCATGTGAATGCTGAGAGTCAAACCTAGGTCCTTTGCAAGAGCAGACAGTATTCTTCACCCATCTCTCCAGTACCTGATGTTGTATTTTTTTATTCGTATTTTATGTGTATGAGTGTATTGCTTGCATGTGTGTAAGTGCACCCATGTCATGTAATGCCCGTGGAGATCAGAAGAGGGTGTCAGATTCCCCTGGAACTGGAGTTACACACAGTTAGCTGTTGGGAATCAAACCAAATCAAACCTGGGTTCTCTGCAAGAACAGCCAGTATTCTTCTCCCCTAAGCCATTTCTCCAGCACCTGATGGCTGTATTTTTTTTTAAAACTTAAAAAATTTTTTATTATTTTTATTTTATATGTATGCATGTATTGCCTGCAATGTATGTAAGTGCACCCGCATCGTGCAATGCCTGCAGAGGTCAGAAGAAGCTGTCAGATCCCCTGGGACTGGAGCTACAGAGTTGTTAGCTGCCACGCAGGTGCTGGAATTCGAACCCGGGTCTTCTGCAAGAACAACCAGTGTTCTTAATTGCTGAGCCATCTCTCCAGTCCCCGATGCTGTATTTTAAAAGTATTCTAAAATTTCCCTTGAGATTTTTTCACTCACAAGTTGTTTAGAAGATGTTTAATGCTGAAATATTTAGAGATTTTCCTAGATTTGTTAGATTCTAATTTTATTCCTTTAGGGCCTAAGAATACATTTTGCATTATTATTCCAATTCTGTAAATCTGGGGGCTGGAGAGATGGCTCAGCAGTTAAGAGTACTTGCTGACCAGAGTTCAGTTCCTGGCACCCACAGGAGGTGGCTCACAACCACCTGTAACTCAAGCTCCACAGATCCAATGACCTCTTCTGTCTTCTATAGGTACCTGCAAATATGTGGCACACATATAAATTTAAAAAAAAAAAAAATCTCTAAATGTGATCTTGCTTTAGTGTTCCACATGCATTTGGAAGATATATCTATTTCTGTTTGTGGTGGAATGTTCTACAGCAGTCAGTCAGTGCTAGGGGTTTGCTGATTTTCTATTTGTCCTACTGATTACCGAGGTTGGAATCCAGCCTACTATAAATTGAACTCTTGATCGTCCTGCCTTCACCTTCCAAGTGCTGGGATTAGAGTGTGTCCACCACATCTAGCCTAGCTTTTTTTTTGAGATAGGATTCTGCTAAACAATCTAAATTGGCCTTGAACTCATGATTTTCCGGGTTTTACCTTCCCAGTTCTGGGAGGATAGTGTACGTTACCATGACCAGACATTTTGTCTAGACAGTTTCTCTGGTTTTCTTTTGGTGAATGATTCTATGGGACATCTTTGTGTCTATCTCCCACCACGGTGTTCCCTCTGGGGATCCATGAGAAACAGCCATCTTCTTTGATCAAGAGGGTGAAGGAATGTCACCCTCCTGGCAGGCTCACTGCAGCGGCCCAGAAAACAGGAAATTAGTAGCCACAAGGACTTAAGTCTGTGTCTGCCTGATGATTAGCACAAAGGCATGTGGAAATAAGAGGTTGTCTATGCCTGAATCTGGAAGCAGAGCCAAACTGAAAGAGAAACAGGCTCTCCTGGATATCACAGGTTGAATCTTCATCTAAGCATGTAGCTGGGCCCTCAGCTGCAGCCTATGTCCCAAGTAGGACTTGCCATTGGTATGTCGACTCCTGACCTATGGGCACTGAGGCGGGGGGGGGGGGGGGGTGGGGGGATTAAGTTACTAGGATATAGCCTGACCTTCGACAAGACACTGTCTATTCCACATGATGCTGCACACTCATCTCTTGATGTCTAAGTCCTTGCCCTGTGACTGGCGCTCTTAGATCATTAGCATTCAGTCTCAATGCCAACATGGGCAGACTGAAATCTATGGTCTTGTCTGAAGTCTTCTACTCATTCCACCTGTTCTTGGTTTCATTTTTTTCTTTACCCACTTCAGTTAAATGACCATTTTACAATTTCTTCTTGTTTCTTTTGTTGACTTACTAATCACTGCACTTAAAACAATCTTTAAGAGTGGCCCAGAGTTTCTAACACATCTATAATTCACTCTTTCCTGCATGTAGTTCCCTCCCTCTGGCTCAGGTTGTCTGTCTTTAGGATGTAGTATGACTTGGAAGGAGGGTGTACGCTTGTGTTTTCTTTTTATTTCTGCCTGCATCCTCAGAGCTTCCTGGGCTTGTGGTTGTAGCTGTTATGGATCCTGGAGATGCTTGCATGTTCAGTGTTTTATTCTCCCATTTCCCTTCCTCTGGGGTCTACTTACATATATGTTTGGTTATTTGCAACAGTCTGAGAGCTCTTGGGCTTCTGGTCTTTTGCTAGTTTTCAGGTGGGCAATACTTGCTGACTGTCTTTCCGATCACTGGTTTACTCCTCAACCAAGGAGAGTCTACCTGGAGTCAGGATTCTCCTGCTACTATTATTGCACAGCTCTGCTGACTGTACACTGTGACCCTTCCAAATCATAATCTTTGCCTTCTTTGTTAGGGTCTTCAGTAGACTTGTTATTGTCCTTTAGAGTTCTAATGTGCTCCTTGGTTCTGTTCATTCCTTAAGAAGAAAAGGGTCAGATAGGCGATGTGCTTCCCATTCCCACCTTGCTTTCTCGTCTGTCTAGTGGAGACTGGAGAACAGATGTCAAGGCATAGACCCTCTGTGCTACAACCCTCCCAGGCTTTCCCCAAATACTGGGTCTTCTCCTGTGATATCCAGTCATATCAGCAAGTACTAGCATCTCCCCAGTGCTCCTTAGATCTGGGACAAGCTGATGGCTTGGGGGCCCCAGTTTACAAGGGGCTTCAAAAGGGAATGGATGTTAAGCTGTACCAGTCACTGTCAGGACAGAAGTGGCATTCTGTTTGTCACTGTGCATCCAGGAGACTAGGGTTCCTGGTAAGCTCCAAGGGGCCCTAGTCAACAAGCCCCAAAATGTGAGATACAGCAGCATGAATGGCTGACAGCTCAACATGCTGAAAGATCCCTCCTGCCATCCCTAACAGAGGCCACAATGAGGACACAGCTGGATGGTTACTTTCCTAATATGGCCTGCCACACAGTGAACAAAGTACGGCCTGTTCCCAAGGAACCATACACAGTGGTGAGAACACCTACCACTCCCACGGTCAACAAACTGTGGGGCCCCTCACTGGCCTGGACCTTTGTGTCTTTCTAGTATCCATGCTGGCTCTGGTCTTGTGCTCCAGCTAGCCTCAGCATCTCTGCTGTTCACATGAAGGCCCACCTGCTTTCTCAGAGAGGGAGCACTGCTCTAGGTCCCTCTAAATGCTCATTAAGACTAAGTCCACAGCCAGGCATGGTGGCGCACGCCTTTAGTCCCAGCACTTGGGAGGCAGAGGCAGGCGGATCTCTGTGAGTTCAAGGCCAGCATGGTCTACACAGTGAGTTCCAGGACAGCTGGGGCTACAGGGAGACCCTGTCTCAAAAAAGAAAAGACTAAGTCCACAGAGGATATTTATGTTGGGCACTGTCTCCCTAGACCTGGCTTTCTAATGGAACTTGCTACAGGAGAATGGTCAGAAGTAGACATGAGTGGGCATGGCTAGCAAATGCAGTCAACCCTCAGAAAACAGACAAAGGTAAGGGCAAAAGGTAAGCACAATCTCAATAAACTGCCTCCTAGACAGATATGGTAGCTCATATCTATCATTTCAGCACTTAGAAGGCTAAAACAGGGGGATTGTCACACGTTTGAGACTACTCTGGCCTACATAGAGAGTTCTGAATCAGGTTAGGTTTCAGAGTAGGACCTTATGTCAAAAAAAAAAAAAAAAAAAAAAAAGGAAATTGTGCCAACAGGAACGTCTGAGTGAGTCCTACAAGCATTTCAGTGGTCTCAGAGCAAGCAGGGTAACACTTCACATTTGTGCACTGTGAGGGTTACAGTGCATTGCCTCATCATCTCAAAGCCCCACAGGGCCTCCCCTGGGGCTCATAGCTGGGCCACATAGAACATATGACCACACCAAGTACACACACTTGTTGGAAAGCTTGGTGCTCAGGCACTCAACAGGATGCTGTTACCATAGGGCAGAAGCTACCACAGTTTGGAAGTCCCAGCTGAACGTCAACTGTGGCCTGCTCTTGCAGAATACTTGTGGGCATAGATCTAGGGCTGGGCCAGAACCCACGGTGATACTAACTTGGCTTGTGAAGAAACTGGAGGACCTAGCTCCAGGTCTAATGCAGTGAAGGCAGCCTTCAATTCAGGGCCAACAGAAGAGGAGGGAGGCATCATTGACCTCAGCAAGAATCACCTGGTACCTTTTGTGGGATGGCCAAATGCCTGGTGGGCAGCGCTTCATGCTGAACATGTACACAGCAGCCTCTGCAGTGCTGAAGAGTCGGCAGAAACACAGGAATGCACAGACTGCCACAGCAGATGCAGCTCTCCCATCCTAGAATGAAGGGACAGGCTTCTTTCATGCACATCCCCATGCATAAGCAGATGAGGGCTCGCAACAGTTCCTACAATCTCCTAACTGCCCATGTGGCTAAGTGAAGGACCCAATGCTGGGCTTAATGTAAAGGATACATTTAGGAACTGAGATAAATGTGTTTTGTGCAGTGAGAATTCAGAGCCCAGAGAATAAAGAGTCACTGGCCAAGTGCACAGGCTGGTCACCTTCTCCCCTAATCCAAATCAAGTTGGCATGCTGGCCTTGCCATATGCTTGATTCTTCCCTGATATCTCTACCATCATCTTTTCCTTCTCTTGTGGTATTGGGGACTTAGATATGCTAGTCAAGTGCTACCACTCCTTTCACTTTTTATCGTGCGATCAGGTCTTTCTAAGTTGTCCAGGTTGGCCTTTAACCTGGGCTCCTTCTGCCTCAGCTGCCCTAGTGGCTGGGATCACAGGCCTGTACCACCAGGTCTAGCTTATCCCCTTCTTGTTGCAACATTTATCAACATATCCAATATACCAGGACTGAGCCCTAAGTGTGCTTTCTATTGGGCACCACATCCCATGCAAGGCATTCAGATCTCTATTCCCTACTCTGTGGTTGGGAAAACCTGGGGTAAGGACTCACTGATCTCAGTTAGGAGGTCCCAAGTTGGGGGCTCCCCGCTGGGCATAGTGACTCCTGTACTGGCTACACAGGTCAGAACATCCAAAAGAGCACTTACAAATGCTTCTTGTTCCACAGGGGCAGGGACCATCAGTTAGCCTGGACCCTCCATACCCAAAGCTCCAAGTTCAGAGGCCTTCCTTCAATTAGGGTTCTCTGTGGTACCCAGGACTAATGTGGCTTTGAGAATATGGAGCCAATACCACTCACCATGCAGTGTACGACACAGACGTTCCTGTGATCTTCTCGGAGCCAGGCATGCATGCTTCTGCAAAGAGTGTACAAGCTGTGGAGGTGTGGCGCCCGCCTGGCTGCCCAGCCACACTCAGAGACCTGTGAGGATAAGGTCCCACTCAGCTTAGTTCCTACACCAGCACCAATGAACGTGGCTGGCATCACTGCATGGCCACCTTGCCTCTGTGTGCCTACAACACTGTCTTTTCACATTTTTGGTTTTTTAAAAAAAAGTGTGTGTGTGTGTGTGTGTGCGCGCGCGCGCACGTGCGCGCGCGCCATAGAGTATGTGGAGGTCAGAGAGCAACCAGTGGGAGTCAATTCTTTCCTTCCACTATGTGGGTCCTGAGGATCAAACTTGGTTGTCATGCTTGATGGTAAGTGATTTTCACCTGCTGAGTCATCTCATAAGCCCCCAGCACTGCCCTTTTTAAGAGATTCTACAGATGTAGTCGTCTGGGTCTCTGAGCATCTTCCTCAGCTGGGATGCTAATGGCTATGAGTACACTGTACCATAGGACTGATGCTACGCAGAAAGAACTACCCTTTCCTATGCTTTGGTTCACTTTACATATGTGAAAAGTCTTGTGTCAGATGTTATCAAGTGAACTCTGTAGCTGAATAGCCCTGGGGGCCAAGAGCAGTAAGCAGAAGGCAGGTATCCCGGTCTTTTGGGAAGTATCAATCTTCCAAAGGTTTTCTCCCCAGAGTCTGTGTGTGTTGCAGAGCTTCCTTCCAAAGATACTCTGACCCACCCCCAGCCCCAGTCACACCTCTAGGCCTAGCCTCCCTGGGAATTGCCTTGGTCAGAAGAGTCTTAATCTGCTCCCTGCAGCTGCCTGGTGCTGTCCAGATCAGGCCAGTGCTACAGTAAGCAGCAGATTATCACCTAAAATTGCACCTAAGTGGGAAAAGAACGGCCCAAAGCATAAAAGAATAGCACTGGGCTACTTACACGGTTATGGAACTTGAATGCCCTATATGTCCTTGGAGACAGGTTGTAGACCGCATAGTGTCCCGGATGCTTGGTATCCAGAAACAACCGCACATCCTCTATGTTGTTTTTGATCGCTGACTCCACACCTTCTGCTGGGAATGACATCACTGAATGAAAGAGAACAGGCACCAGTTAGCAGTCACTCAGGGAATGCCCTCTTAGGTCACGGTCACCTCCTAGCCCAGCACTGGCCAAACACAGATTTTGTTTTACCTTCTTAAGTTCTCCCAGTCTGTGCAGTGGGAAGTATACAGGCCTGCTACACGGGAAATCTCACCGTGTGAGACCATGGTGACCTCTGCAAAAGGTTCTCAGATGGTCTAATGTACACCATCAGCTTTTCTGATTTTTTGTCTAGATACCTAGTTTTAAATGTACAGGGTCCTATATTGCACCTCTTGTGCTCTCAGCGTTTGAGTCATGCCAGAAGCTGGACAGGCACTAGCCCTGCCCTTGTTGTAGGTCAGGAAATATGCTGGATATAGCCTCCCCTTAACCACCACCCCAGTGGTGGTGCCCCTGGCCATATTTCAGATAGGTTTGTGGCTGCCCAAGAGACTAGAGAAGACATACCTCAGTTACTCCCACTGGCCCCTGGTCTAAGTCCCTAGTAGACGCTTAACACCCAAGAAAGACATACCTGCAATTCTGGATGTGATATAAGATATGTCCAGATCACCCTTTGCATAGCTGTAATTAAAAGAACACTGAATCACTATAGAAAACATTTGAGAATTGCATCACAAGAACTTCAAGTGGAGCCCAAGTTCTAGAATGCTGAAGGGGACCTTGCTTACAGCCTGTATCCCATAAGGAGTGTGGATACGTGTGTATATATAAATGGGCACAAGGACTTGTGTATGCCTGTGCTGTGTAAGCTGACAACCAAGCAGAGTAAACCAAACCTAGAAGCGGGTGACAGCAGCCCCTGGGAAGGGCTGTTGTTTTCTGAAGTGTTCTTCAAGGAGGCAACGTTGAGGGCTAACCTTGAAAGATGATAACAAGGGCAAGGGCACTGCATAGCAGTCACTAGTCCCACCGCTCTGGGGGCTGGCCAGGCAGTGGCTGGCAGCCTGAGGACAGAGTACAACCTGTGTCCTACACAGAAGAGACAACAGACATTGCTGGAGGAATGGATACCCAAATGCATCACTGCTCATGGCCAACCACACCCTAAACTTGTTCATAAAACTGATAAAAATGCAGAGCAAATCCTAAATGACTATGCAGTAACTTGACAAACTAATTCTACAAGTCCTCTGAAGAAACACTTATGTCAGAATAGACAAAACATCTTGGGAGAGAGGATAGACAGAGACTAGTGTAGCAGAGCCACTACAAACAGCATACTGCATTTGGGCAGTAAGGCCAGAAAAGCCAGAGTTTATAAAGCTGGGGTGGCCACATTTGCCATCAGCAGAGTCAGCAAGGGGTTACAGAGGTCCAAAGTGCAAAAAAAAAAAAAAAAAAAAAAGACCTGACATGCACTATAAAGCCAAAAGGTTAAAACATGTTTACAACAATCTTGACATTTTTAAAACTTTAAGTATTTAAGACAGGTTAATTTAGGGTATAGAGGGCCTCCCTAAACAACATAACAACAAACACAGGACATACAGAAGTATAGCTTTAAGTACAGCTTTACAGATTTACCTGGTGCTTCAATTTCTATGGAGAAAAGCAGTTAAAAAGGCATGCCACAGACCGGGATGAACTATTTGATGTTTCTTCACAAAAACAGTAAAAACCCAAGGGCAAACAGAGCAAAGGCCATAAACATGCAGCAGAAAGTGTGAAACCAACCCAGCTGTCCTTCAAGGAGGACAAAAGTGCCCCAACAGTCTTGAGCCTGGAGCCTGAAGCACTCTATCCATAGGACCCCACTCAGAGCCAGCTCTAGCTCTGGGCAACACCAGCCGAGGATCACTGTGACTCTGACAGTACTGGCATGATGGCACTATTCATTTTCTTTGGTATCAAACAGATGAAGCAGTTACAGGGCAAAGAGGTATCTTTCGGCATGACCTCTCCATTAAGTCAATCATGCTCAGCATGGTAGCTGCCTGACTTTAATCCTCGCACTCGGGAGGCAGAGGCAGATGAACTCTGTTGAGTGTGAGGTCAGCTTTGTGTACATCAACAAGTTCTAGGTCAGCCAGGGCTATACAGTGAGATCCTGTCTCAAAAAAACAAAAATAAATAAATAAAAAGTCACTATGAGACCTGGGCTAATGGGAATGAGTATGTGGTTAAGAAAGTCATAGCATGATCCAGGAGCCTTGGAGAGCGCTCTACAACACAACACTGCGTTGAATCTTTTTTGAAGGGTTTGTGACTGGAATGTCTGGGCAGCCTTGCTGGTCCTTGTCAGTATGGCCATTCCTGATGCCCAAGGGTGTGTGTTGCTACTGTAAGTATGACAGGATCACAGTACTCAAGGTCCCAAGTTCCTTCTATAGTTGATAGAACATATATATATATATAGGTATTTTTGAGACAGGGTCTCCCTGTAGTCCCAGCAGGCCTAGAACATACCATGTAGACCAGGCTGGCCTCTATCTCACAAAGATTCGCCTAACTCTGCCTCCCGAGTGCTAGAATTAAAGGTATGTATCGCCACGCCTGGCCCTTTCTTTCTGCTTTTTGTTTGGTGATTGTTTTCACAGCCCCAGCAGCTGCATGTGTGTGCCTCTGTGTGTGAGCATACACATGTGCTGATGAGCACACATGTGTGTTCTACACTGTGTGAATACAGGTATGTAAATATGCAGGTGCATTTGCCTTCTGCTTGGAATGCATGCTTAAAATACTAGGCATGTCCAAACTTTTGAAATTGTGACATATTATCACCTACAAAGTTCATCCTCAATTGAGTTCCATGAAAAACATTGCAAAAGGAATCTCCTGAGGCAGTCACTCTAGTACAGCCATGAGGCTCTGTTGAGTCTGCCTGGCTTTCTGAATCCAGATTCAGAAAGGCCTAACTTTTCCTTTTTTTCTGCCTTTCTTTCAGATGTTGGCCAGAGTCAAGCGTGCTTTCTGTATACTTTGGGCTTCTTTTACTCTCTCTCTACAGTTCTGCTCCTCACAATGTGGCTGCTTGTCCGACATGTGGCTGACCTCCATGCCAAACTCAAACGGGGTGGCTCTCTCCATCTTTCTGCGACTCTGTAATAAACTCTCTCTAAAAACCAAAAATCTCATGATGTTTCAAGTAAGTTTACGATTTTGTATTGCGCTTCATTCCTAACTATCCTTGCTTGGCTATATGCAGCCTTGCTGGGGCTACATGCAGCAGGCCACAGGGTGGATACACCTGGCAAGAGTTACATAAACCCCTGTGCTCATTAAATGATTTATAAGGAGCAGCAAATGCCTTCATTTTTTGGCTTTAGCAATAAAAAGGCCCAGGTGTAGTGACAGGTGGCAAAAGTGAGCATCCCAGTATTCTCTTGGTTGCCTGAGACTATTTTATGACCTAGAAGTCAAGATCTGGGCCACCCGTCTATGTGAGGTACATACTTAATGCACACACTCTTAAACCAGAGCTGACCCGGCAGCATCCCCTGGACTTCCGTTACTAGGTAGAGGTCGGTATGAGGACCCCCAAATGATACTCAGCACCCACTGTACAGCATGAGGTATCTTGTTTACGCACTTTTGATACCAAAGAAAAGGAATAGTGCCATCATGCTAGGTACTGGGTGGCAAAGCTAAGTGATCCTCAGCTGATGCTGCACAAAGCCAGAGCTAGCTCTGAGCTGGGTTGTATGGACAGGGGGCTTCAGGCTTTAAGCTCAAGCCTGAATCTGGTTCCTCTGTAAATAGAGGGTGATATCATCACACTGCACTGGGGAAGCTCCACAAGGTGAAGAACAGGATAAGACAGCCCTCACACTTACTTAGCCACAGACTGGATGACCTTGGAGGAGGTGTCCTTGAGGTTGGTGAAGAGCCGTTCTGTCCCACCACGCAGGATGTCGAGAAACCCACCGTAGGGCTGGTCGTACTCTGCCACAGCCAGGCCTGCAGGAGAGACAGTTACAATGGGTCAGAGACACATGCCCTAAAAGATTTTACTCCCTTTCCCCTGCCCTTCCAAACCCATAAGTGAGCCAGGCCTCCCACCAGCAGGTACACCTGCTATTTCTAGCCTTTCCTAAGACCCAGGGAATGGCCAGTGTAGACATAGAAAGCCATGTGGTCACACATCAGACAAAGCTTCTAGCTGAGACGCTATACTAATTACGGGATAGAGATAGCCTCATGGTGGTAACTGCAGGCTATGATACTCTTTCTAAAGTGAATGTAGGTAGAGCCAATAAAAGTGGACTCTGAGGTCACAGTCTCGGAATGAGGCCCTCAAATGGTGTGGTGGTAGAGCTAATGCAGATACAACCAAGGCTTTCCACAGCTTCACAAGCAGCAAGTCTGCACAGCATGACGCAAAAGTAGGCACCCTGAGATCCCACTCCCCATGGCCAACAACGAGGTCTGCAACTGTACCACATATGCTGGGCACACCAGGTAAGGACCTGAGTGCCTGGATGCTGGGTTGGCCAACTACTGGAGGCAAGAGCCTTCTCATTAGGAAACAAAGATCTAGAGAAGACCTCAATTAGCCCCTGACACCCTAAAAAGTTTAGGATAGTGCTCATCTCATGGTTGACCCATGACCACATCTCTGTCTCAAGTTCCTCATTTCCCTCACTGGTACTTTCAAGGTGGCCACTCTGCATGTGATGGAAGACTACTACTCTATGGCCCATTCAAACCACCAACAGGAACAGCCCTCATTCTCTCCTGCTCGAAGGCCAGCTCCTTCTCCACCCCTAGTAGGTACCTCTAGTGTTCTTTGACCTTGGGACACTATCTATTAACCTTGTCTAAAGCAGGTCTGGCTTTTGTCCCCAACTTCTGGGAGAGACCACCACCTAAGAAGGGTCACTTCCCTGAGCTTTGAATGGTGCTGATGTCCAGCTTAGTGTGACCTCCCCCCAGAGGAGCTAGAGACTATGGTCAGTTATGCCCATGAGACTGATTCCAATATAACCCTAATGGCAGGTGGGTTGGTCCCAGCTTGCCAATGTTGACAGGATTCCTATGGGACAGGACCAAGTGGTAGCTCCAGGTTGATCTCTCCTGGACCTTGCTTGCCCTGGCAGCCCTTCCCTTGGCTGATTTGAGTCCAAATACCTTGTTAAATTCTGCAGTCTGCACTGAGTACACTGAATCAGCAGAATTATGAATTTAAGGAACGGTGAAATAACTAGCCCTACAGGAGCAGGGTTTTGATGTCCCTGATGCATGTTTGGGTGGCTGGTGCACAATAGGATTGCCATTCCTATGAGGCAGGTTGGGGTGCTTACCTCCACTGGAACTGCTGTTCATGGGGCCCCCAGGAGGGGGTGGTGCTCGGGAAGGCCCTGAGTTTCCATAGCCACCATTCTGCTCCAGCAGCTGTAAGAGTCAAAGGCAAAGTCAGCTTCCTACAAGAGCCAGAGCTGGTTTGTACTTGCCCTCAGCACTTGTGCCCTTAGGCATTAAGCCAGAGATGGCAACCAAGCCAAATGGGCAAAATTCTATCTGCTTTACCTTTAATGTGCATGGGAGTACTTTCCCAATAGTGTAGACACAGTAGGTCACACTTAACAAATAAAACCTCCATTTACAGCTCTAAAACGACATTCAGGATAACCCAGGCAGTAACTGTCAGTCATAAGTCCACATTCTTGTCCTATCAGGACATGTCCAATCCTTTATATATGTAAATTCTACTACTCTCCCTATTTTTTTTCCTCCCAATCCATGGGACCATCTTGAGCAGATGTTATCATTATGTACAAAAGCCCAGGGGTTCTGGAGCTGGGTAGAACTTCTCCAATAGTACCTGGGGCCAACTTTGCATTATTCTGTGAGCTGAGCCCACAGCACAGTAACTGAGGAATCAGCTGACCTAGAGAAGGGGTTCACAGGTTCTCTAAGCACTCTAATCAGAACACCCTTTGTGTCTCCATTGGCCAGCCAAACTTCTTCCCTGGCACCTTATGAAGAACAAGGCCCACACTCGTATGCTCTGCCTTACTGTGCTCTCCAGGACAGGCAGCATACACTTTCACAAAGTCCCAAGGATAACAGGTGAGGCCCTAGGTAGCCCTGACACAGAGAAACTCCCCAGAAATGCCTTCTTTGCCTCTTTGACCTATTACTCCCCAGCCTGACCTCCAAAGAACCTTGTGAAAGGCATCCATATCACCCACCCGCCATCCTCAGAGCACCTGAACACTTAAAATACATCCTGTTCCCAGCTTTGGGATCTCCCTGGTGAGACCCAAAGGGGCCTCACCAGCTGGTTCCCCTACAGGAATCACAGTCTTTTTCTACCTACTACTTCTCATCCACAAATGAGGACTCCAGTCAGCAGCTCTGATCTCTCTTCTATAACCTACTCTCACTTTTCAGCAGTACAGACCTCAACCCCTGTTAACTAGCTCAGTGCCTATTGTCCCTGGGAAGTTCTGCTTCCATAGGTGAAAGGACCAACAAATAGAAGCAGACAAAATTGGAGCCAGAGATCCAGTCTCTGCATGGTGACTCAGGAGAGGCCTCATCTCCGGAGGGAGTCAGAAGGCAGGACAGCAGAGTCTGCTGGCCTGAGCCCTGAGCTGTGGGGGTGGGTGTCAGTCTCCCAGGAATGCCCAGGGATCTGCCTGTGCCCTAAAGGTGTAAGCTGGACTTACAGCTGTTTCAAGAAGGTCTTCTTAGGCTGGGCATGGGGGTACACACCTTTACTCCCAGCACTCAGATCTCTGTGAGTACAAGGCCAGCCTGGTCTATATAGTGAAGTCTAGGCCAGCTGGGGCTACAGGGAGATCCTGTCTCAAAAAGATAAAAAAGGTCTTCTGGTCCACATGCTACAGTGCCCCTCCTGGCCTGACTTCAACAGCCCATCAGGCAGAGTGCTGCCAAGAGCCATATGCACTGGACTTTTGTTGAGCCTGGGGATGAATACACTGACAAAGCCAGGACTGGATGCATGACCACAGAAGCTCTAAGATGTAGATAGTAATATATACCACCTGAACCTAGGGAAGAAACTACAGATAGTGTGATAGAGTGACCTCTTGGGGCTCATCTGGGCCAGAGTATCATGTCCAGAGCATGAGACTTTCTGAGCCAGGACCACAGGAGCTCCAACTAGTATGGTAGCCTATGGGGTTCTGTGATTCGATGAGTTAGATGGATGAGGAAGCCTCAAGGTATGTCAAGAATACAAACAACAGTACAGATGTATGATGTCCTTACCTCAGTGATGGGGGCCTTGGGGTTCACATTCCTGGCTGCTGCAATCTCCTGCAGTTGGCGGACAACCTCGGTGATGGACAGCCGCTCCTCTGGGTTGACCTTAAGCATGGCGCCTGAGGGAAAACAGTAGCAATGAATTACCCCTATATACCTACAGTCCTAGGCCCAGGCTGGACAGTTCCACCTGCTATTGCAGAGGTTACAGAGCAAAGGTCACACACTTTGGCAACAGTACTGATTTGAGAAGCAAAGGAAGGACTGACAGAACTATCTATTACCATAAAATTGAACGAGTCTATCAGAAAGGACCATAAAGATCACCAAAGGGGTGGGCAGGTGGACAACTCCATGGAAAAGCTTTTGAACTGCCTACCAGAATGCTGTCAGGACAGCAGCAATGGAGGGAGGTAGGGAGAACATGGCTAGTATGTAAGCAACACCTAAAACCTAACAGGGAAGCTCATCTCCCCAAGTCTCCGCATCAGCAAACTCAGGAACTTACGAATGAGGTCATGGAAGACTGTGTAACGAGTATCATTCACAGGAATAGAGTACTTCCCATTGACTATCCGAAGTTTTGCTCCATCCTCAAAAGGATGCTGCCGGAAACATAGCAGGTACAAGATACATCCCAGGGCCTGTGGGGAGAAAAGAAGTTGAGCAGGGATATGAAGGATGAAGACAGAGATTAAAATTGTGAAAGCAGGGAGAACAGAGGCTGAGTGGGGACACAGAGGGTCATGCAAGGAACTAAGGGTATGGATTGAATACAGGCCAGCAGGGAGATGCTGAGCAGGGATCTGGTGGATAAGGTCACTAGCGGAGGGGTACAAAAGAGCTGCCTCTTCCTGGTGGACACTTGGAGGGCACCAATCAGGTTGCTGTCTTTTGTTGGAGTCATGCCCAAGTTGTGACTTAAAAATGTCAACCTAGCTAGGTGGGTCAGTGACAGTGATTCCCTCCATGGGAAGCATAGGTCTTCCCACCCCTTCTACCACCAAGAACTTTCTAGGTCCCAGCAACAAGTCTTATGTGTTTATTTTTCAAATTAAAAGGCTCCCTTCAAAGTTACATGGTTCCTGTTCAAGCACTGGCTTTGCAGACTAGTGGCATCCTGAGGACCTCACCATATAAGGGTAGAGCAAATGCCAAGGATGAGCTCTCTACAAACAATTCCTAGCTACAGACTAGGCAATGTGAAAGGCATGGAGGCCAACTGGAGATTCCCATAGAACTGATCCCTTCTGTGGTTTGTCCTACCCATTATACCCAACAGTATGAACAGGGAGTTACTGAGATACTGGGATTCTCCAGGCAAGAGCAACAGCACATATAGGACACCCTGATGAAGTAACTCAATTGTGTCCTTATGCCAAGATGTGTGCGGAAGGCCACCTGGGGTGGGCCAAGAGACAAAAAGCTAATGAAGATGTGTAAGCATCCCCATATTCCAAACACAATACAAACCTGTCTACAGTGGAGTCAATATTGGCCCCTATAAACTTCGGGTGTACAAGTCCTTGACAGTGTTTGGCTGGGGGTGGGATAACAGATGCCTTCACTGTCCCTGTCCCTAGGGAAATAGCTGGTGGCTTTGGCCACAGTAAGGAAGGTGTAACCCATTGTGTAGACAACGGTCATGTGTGACACTATGAAATAACATACTTGAGGGACTGGAGAGATGGTTCAGCGGTTAAGCACATTGGCTACTCTTGCAGAGGACCTCGGTTCAATCCCCAGCACCCACATGGCAGCTAACCACCATCTGTAACTCCAGTACCAGGGGAAGCCAATGCCTCTGGCCTCTTCTGGCCTCTGTGGGCACTGCATGACACAAGTGCACTTATATACATTCAGGCAATACACTCATACACATATAATAAAAATAATAAATATATTTTTAAATAACACGCTTGAATTCTTCCCATTTCCTAGCATATTACTCCAAAAATCTTTAGAATTCTCCTACCCCTTAGGTAGCTTTGGAATGAGGTGGGTCACCAGAAAGACGAAAACAAAATCAGGGTTAGAGGCGTGGGATTTCCAGCCCATCTCTCAACCTCTGGAATGGCAGAGAAAGCAATTGAGCTGATCCAATGGTGTAATCAACCAAGTCTAAGTATGAAGTCTCCATAAAACACAAATGCCAGGGTTCACGTGAGCTCTTGGACAGCTCACCACATAGAGGATCCTAGAGAGTGGTGCACCCTGAGAGAGTAGGGAGGTTCTACCTGCTCGCCTTCAGGCTCTATGCATTTCTCCATCTGTGTTAGTTATAATATCCATTACAATAAACTAGAAAATGTTCATAAGTGTGTATCTGAGTTCTATGAGCCACTCTAGGAAGCTAAACCCGGAGAGGTTTGTAGGAAGCCAGGCTTGTGATCTGTCCATTCAGAAGCACATGAAAAACGACCTGACACTGCAATCAGCATTTAGAAGGGGACAGGGGAGGTAGGTTGGACTGAACCTTACCTTGTGGTCTGATACTATGTCTGGCAAACAGAAAGCACTAACTCATTAGCACTGACTTAGACTAATGCCCTAGGGGCATCCTCTGGGGAACTGACTGCTTACTGCTCCTAGGGAACAGACCCCAGCTTCTGGGAAGTCACATTGATCTCCTCTGTGTCAACCGTGCTGGTGTGATGGAAGAATAGATGGATGCTTGTGGCAGATGGGGGTATAGGCCTGGAAAGGGCATCATGTACCCTTGTTGAGACATTCCTGGGTCTGGAGCTTGACTCCAGAGGTCAAAACAGGTACAGAAATTGATCTTGCTGCCATGTGATGCCTGTACAGACTCAAAGTCATGCTGATACTCTAAGTGTTCTGTTAATCCTACCAGTGATGTTACAGGAAATGAAGGCAAAAGGAACAGGGAGGAAAAAGGGAAGGGAGCTAACAGAACACGAGGGCCCATTACAGATGGAGCTGGAGGTCTCTACAGCTCCTGCCACGTCCTGACTGACTGGGCACGAGCAAAGGAAGCACTCAGGTCTCACCCAGATATCCTGCTTCTCGCCAATGGGGAAGTTGGAATACAGGTCTACAATTTCTGGTGTTCTGTACATGGGAGTGGTGTTCCTTGTGATCTGAAGAAAAACACATATTTCAAGGTAAGTTAAATAGAAACAGTATTTTCTTTTTTGGCACCAAGGCCCTGCTTTTCCAAACTCTACTGCGAGCTATCAGTGACTTATCCTCCCACTGTGTTCCAGAGGGACCTCAGACTGCTCAACTGCTCATGTACCTCTGCACTACCATTTTCTTTACAGAGCTACTCTCTTGTCCGCCACCAAGATTAATGAAGAACCATGTCAAAGTATTCGCCTCCTGAGCCATTTTGTTTGCTCAAGGGAAGCATGTGGCACCTGGTATGAGAAACCCCCTTCAGAGTGCTCAAAGAGGCCAGTTTATGTGAGAGGCTGTGCTAGTTAGCTTTTGTCAACTTGACACAACTAGAGTTCCCTAGAAAGATGGAACCTCAGCTGAAGAATTTCCCAGATCAGACTGCGGCCATGTCTGTGAGGCATTTTCCAACTGCTAGTTGGTATAGGAGGGCCCAGTTCACTGTGGGTGGTGCCATACCTAAAGCAGGTGGGCCTGGAATGTCTAAGAAAGGGAGCTGAACAAACCAAGAGAAGCAAGCCAATAAGCAGTGTTCCTCTGTGACTTCTGTTTCGGTTCCTGTCTGCAGACTCCTGACTTGAGTTCCTGCTTTGCTTCCCTCAGTGATGGACTAGAACTTGTAAGCTGAAATTAAACCCTTTCCCCTGCAAGTTGTTTGGTCATGGTGCTTATCACAGCAACAGAAAGTCATCTAGTACAGGGGCATTCTAGTTGAGTAAAAGGAGGTGCTGTACTAAAAGAAGCTTCCAGATGCATTCTTGTGAGGAATGTAAACTTCAGTAACACAAGAAATAATGAAGTCTGTCAGTTGGTCACGCTTAAAAACTGAATGCAGGGGCTGAGGAGATAGGTCAGTCAGTAAAGTGCTTGCCATGCAAGAATGAGGACCTGAAGTTTGATCCCCAGAACCCATATAAAAAGCTAGCATGGTGGCAAGTGCTTATAGCCCCACTGGAGACAGTGGGGGTAGTCAGCCAGCTTAACCTAATGGGTGAGTTCCAGGCCAGTTTATTTAAAAAAGCAAGGTGTAGGCCAGGCATGGTGGCACAAGCCTTTAATCCTAGCACTCAGGAGGCAGAGGCAGGTGGATCTCTGAGTTCAAGACCAGCCTGGTCTACACAGTGAGCTCCAGGTCAGCTAAGGCCACAGGAGGAGACCCTGTCTCAAAATCAAACAAACAAAAAACAAGGTGGATGGCTCCTAAGGAATGACACTCAGCTTGTCCTCTGACCTCCATATGCACACATACACATGTATACTCACATACACATGAACACATACACATGAACACACACACACATGCACACTCATATACACTTACAAAACTGAGTGAGACCCACCCCCCAGGTCCCCAGAGACACATCCTCTTGGGAAATGCACAGTAAACACACACCAACCTCAAGACTATGATTCGAATAAGGAAGAAAGCCAACATGCCTCACACACAGTAGAAGGACATCAAGCCTCAGGCAGGCAGTGACTCTTTAGACAGTGGAAGATGTAAGCCGATGGAAAACAGGAGGTGCTGTGATGTGAGAGGGCTCCCTGACGAAGGCCAAGGCGTCTGTGCAAGATGCAGGTCCAATAAGGGACCGCGGGAGGTGTAAAACTAGATGGCTTCAAGAGATAAAGATCGGAGAAAACTGGATAAAGGGAGAGGGCACAGGCATGACAAAGGGATAAAGGGCCTGGGACATGGCTGACAAAGGGCCACCAGGCAGGATGGGAGAGCCCAACTGTGGGGCAACACCAAGCTGCATACCACATGCAATACACTTTGATTACATGGCTATCTATGCAAGACCACTGTTGTCTGCAGCACACCATAAAGAACAGTGTGACCAACAGGCACACAGATGAAGGCACATATGTGCGTGGGGGATATATGCAGCTACACAAAGAATAGACACTGAGTGAACCAAGGCAGACTCGCTTCAAGAGAGACAAGTAAGAAACATCTAAACCCGAAAGAGCCCACAGGGTCAGAAGGAGCAGGACACACATATCTCATCAGCCCTGGAGAAAAAGGCTTAGGAGGGAAACTGCAAAACAAAGGCAGTTGTGAGAGAAAGGAACATATGGGAACTTTCTGGAAATATTGTTAATTAAATAAATGAATTTGTCAGGTGTGGTGGCGTACGCCTTTAATCCCAACACTAAGCAGAGGCAGGCGGATCACTGTGAGTTCAAGGCCAGCCTGGTCTACACAGTGAGTTCCAGGACAGCTGGGGCTACAGGGAAACCCTATCTCAAAAAGACAAAAAAGAATTTAATTAATTAACAAAAATGAATTCAAATGTATTTCAAAGGAGTAAGGACAACACTGGGGAAAAAATGATCCCAGGGACCTCTCTGGACACAACCTAGCAGCATACCCAATCCTCAGAACAGAAGTCAGATCAACCTGAGCTCCCAGAAGGTTGTTTCCTTGGTGCCATGGGCATGTGATCCTGAGGCTGCCCAGGGTAGGGTAAGACTGCTGACGACATGGCTCTCACCGAGAGTACACTTTGGGGTGGAGGTGCTACTTCAATGGGTATGTGCTTACTTGCATGGCTGCATGGACTGCCTAAGTAAGCATAGAGAGTCTAGACATAGCTGTGCCCAGACCTGGGCCTCTATGCCATTCTCACTCCAAGGTGGCAATACTTCTGAGAGAGGAAGCTGATCCCAGGCACAGAGCAAAGTAGGCATGTGGTCACCCATAACATCCTGTATCCAAGTGCTCCAAATGATGGTGTATCTGGTAATTTTCCATTGCTTATAACAAAGTATCACAGACTGGGTAAGCTATAAAGAAAGACAGTTTATTTTGGCTCATGACTGTGGTCAAGAGCCCATATGTGGTAGCAGTTTTTTCAGAGTGTCCCAGGGGAGCATGGGGCATCAAACAGCAGAGACAGATAATGTGCATGTGTATTTTGGTCTGTGTTTCTTAGAAACCCACCAGAATTCAAACATGGGGTTCCATTTTGTTGACTTTATCAAATCCTAATCCTTTCTAAAAGGTTCCATTTCTAAACACCATAGTTGGGTTAAGTTTCCACACTTTGAATACCTCACAATGAGGATAAAGTTCAGCACAAGCTGTGTGGAAACAATCTACATTCACACCCTAGCAGATAACAAATGACAAAAGAACCCAGGAGCCCTACAAAACAAATCTGGGACAATTTTACACCAAAATAAAGATATACTGAATCATGACCATGGGAAAAAGAGGTATCTGATGAAAAACAGTTCCAACGAGTAACAAATCCATGAGCAGGTGCAGGAGCTCCCACTTCAGTGATGAGCAGAGTGTGACAGCAAGTGGCAGACAACAGGGTGGGTTAAGAAGCATCCTCACCGCCGCAGCAGACTTGCAGGGCACTAGAAGCCAGGAGTACAGAGCTGGACTCCACACACAACAGGTGGGTGTGATAGCAGAGATGCAGGACTGCTTGTATACGTCACAGGTGGGAAGGACACAGGCAAAGGACAACTGAGCAAAAGCCCTGGACTAGTAGGATGGCTGGTGCCCACCGACCAGCTTAATGGTTCCATTCAGGGTGGTTGTATCTAACAGCGCTGAGGTAAACTGACACTAAATCATATGCAGTGAGCTGTGGGATGGGACAGACATACCCACCAAGGGCAATGCGTCCTTCCTAAGCTCTGGCCAGCCTTCTTGGGCTTCAAACTCTACCAATCAGCTTGGTAATCAGGTCCCACAAGGTACTTGGTGTGACCTTTGCAAAACTGGTGTCAATGATCCAAAAAGCATGGCTCTGATGTGATGACAGACCCTAAGCAGCCACCCTGCCTTCAATAAGGCCTGTGTCCTGCTAAGGAATAAACACAAGCGTCCCTCATAGGCAGTATGCTAGGATGCTATGCCTCTTCCTCCATGGCTACAGCCCTAGGAAGCAGGAGTGCCTTTCTGTGAGCACAAACTGATTTTGATGTAGCTTCATCTGGCACCAAGTAACAGGACAGAGACGTAGGGCCATCTTTCAGACTCCTAGCTCCTCCACAGCAGAGCATCTCCTCCCCTATCTTTCACATGACTTTATACCTGGGACCTCTCTGCTGATTACTGTTCTGTACTGTTTTATACATGCAAGTCACATGAAATCTATGAAATGTCAGCTACTGTGGAATGGTGCACACATTGGGAGGATGCAGTCTATCTTCCAGAAGGGAATGGAGTCACCTGGACTGAGCCATGGGGTCTCTCAGCAAAGACTATTTCTAAATGACTCATTTATACTGGAGATTGAACCTAGAGCCTTGTTCATGCTAGGCAAGAGCTCTACTACTGAGCTATAACTCCAGCCCCTTTTAAAAAACTGCCATGGGGCTGGAGAGATGGCTCGACAGTTAAGAGCATTGGCTGTTCTTGCAGAGGACCCAGGTTTGATTCCTAGCACCCCACAGCAGCTAACAACCATTCATAACTCCAGTTCCAGGGGAACCCAATGCCTTCTTTTGACCTCTGAGGGCACTGCATGACATGGGTGCACGTATACACATACCGGCAATACACATAAAATAAAAATAATACGTGAATTTTTTTTTGAACTGCCATATAGCCAGGCATAGTGGTGCACACCTTTAATCCCAGCACTAGGAAAGCAGAGTTCCCCTGACTCAAAAAAATAAAAAGGCCATATTTAGAATGAAGGAAAAGTTCTGGAAATGGCTGCACAACATTGTGAATGTCTTAATGCCACTGAAATGTGACTTAAAATGACTAAAATTTGTATTATGTATATTTTAAGACAAAAATAATCCTAAGAAAAGAACACGATTAAAACACTTAGATCCAGGTTTGGTCTGAAGAGGATAAAATGAAATGAATTTTCCATTCTGGTTGAATCTATGTCTACAAACTAAAAGAGTGATATCCAGGAACAAAATGATGCTCCCAGGACACAGTCCTGGGAAGTCTGTTAAGAGTCTTGATGATATAAGAACACACTTTGGTTAGTACCTGAAGATTCAGAGATAGAACACGACAGAGAAAAGAACCATGGAGCGACTTCCTAAGAGTCTACACCTCACCTCTTCCTCCACCATTGCTCTCTTCTGGGCGCTCCAACTGTAGTCAGGATAATGGGAGATGGTTGTGGCACTGCCAAAGTCACACAGCTTAATGGTCCCCTGGTTACTAAGCAATAAGTTTTCAACCTGAAAAATTCCAAAAGACAGTCCTTATGAACTTAGTACACACAGAGAGCCTGAACCTCAGCAAAGACAAACAGGAGCATTAGACATGATCAGTGCCTTATTAGGAAAACCCTCTGCATAAACATTCAGGCTACTGGCTGCCAGAGGCCACCATGGGAACCTGACAGGCCCTATAGGACCTCTACTTCAATAGTATAGCCACTTCACATTCCACAACTGCAGATACAATGCTGCATGGCCTGGACAGGGCCTTAGCATGGCAGGCCCTGAATGAGAAGAGAGTCTACATGGAGACTGGAAAAGGCGACCCTCAGAGGGGAGACACACTACATCTTAAATTTTTCTGGATTAGAAGCAATATATCACACTATGTAGGGCAAGCACACCTGTGACCCAAGCATTTAGGAAGAAAAGGCAGGAGGATCTCAAGTTTGAAGCCAGTCTATAAATAATAGCAAGACAATGTCAAAACCAACCAAACAACGACAACAACAAAAGAGTGCACATTTTATCAAATATGTCATTCATAAAATTTCTTTAAAGTCAACACCATTCACAAATCAAAGAGATAACCTAATAACATGAGACACAAGGAGCCTTCAGCAAAGTCAGATAGAAGAACGCACTATGCCATTTTTAAAAAATATTTTATCATTTTTATTTTATATGTGTGAGTGTTATGCCTGCATATAGGTAAGTGCACCCGTGTCACGCATTGCCCATGGAAGATGCTGTTGGATCACCTGGAACTGGAGTTACGGACAGTTATTAGCTGCCATGTGGGTGCTGGGATTTGAATCCTGGTCTTCCGCAAGAACAGCCAGTGTTCTTAACCGCTGAGCCATCTCTCCAGCCCCTCACTATGCCATTTTTAAGTACACTAAATATACCATGAACTTAGGAATAAATCTAACAAAAATGGGCAAAAGACATACTGTGCAGAAGGCCTCCAAATAACTGAGATAAAAAATTTAAATCCAGCTGGGAGTGGTGGTGCACGCATTTAATCCCAGCACTGGGGTTTTGGGAGGGGGGGGGACAACAGGCAGGCAGATCTCTGAGAGTTCAAGGCCAGCCTGGTCTACATAGTGAGTTCTAGGAGACCCTGTCTCAAAAAGACCAAAAAAATAAAAATTTTAAATCCACCAGATGTGGTGGTGGCACATATTTAATCCTAGCACTCGGGAGGTAGAAACAGGTGGATCTCTGTGAGTTCAAGGCCACCCTGGTTGACACAGCAAGTTCCAGGCCATCCGGGGTTAACAGAGAAACTCTGTCTCAAAAAAAAAAAAAAAAAAGACTTTAAAAAAAAAATTTCTTTCTAATCCAAAATAAACGGAACTACATCACGTTCCTGAAATGAAAAGGACATCATAAACCTGCCCCAGTGACTCTAGGGAAGGGCAGCAATGTTGGTCCAGGAGCCACCATTACTGGCTTTTGATTGGCCCCTAAGTAGGAATGGTTTTTACATTATTCTTTTTTTAATATTTTTAAATTTAGTATTTTTATTTTATGTGTATGAGTGTACTGCCTGCATGTATATAAGGGCACTCATGTCGTGCAATGCCTGCTAGGGTCAGAAGAGGCCACTGGATTCCCCTGGAACTGGAGTTAAGGACAGTGTTAGCTGCCATGTGGGTGCTGGGAATTGAACCTGGGTCCTCTGCAAGAGCAGCCAGCATTCCTAACTGCTGAGCCATCTCCCCAGCCCCAGTTTTTACATCCTTGAGTAACTGGAGGGATAGGGAAACAAAGGAAGACTAACATTTTTCATGATATATAGAACTACATGTAATCCCCATTTCAGCTGGCCGTTTTACTGTCATCCTGCCTTTCCCTCTAGGTACATTAAGTATGCTGTGCAGCCATCAGAGTAGGGAGTCCCAACACAAATCTGCAGTCAGCTACCTTTCCTAGTCTGGCCCTCTGCTGAAAAAGTCTGTCAATCCTGTTGAAGAGCCACAGCAATTCTAATCAAATTCTCTAAATTTCAGGGAAGAATATGCAGACCTTGGAGAAAGAAAAACCAACCATACTCACTCATAAGATCTGCCACAGGCTGGCAAAGAGAGGAACCATGGAACCTCATTGCCTCCAGAAAACCCAGTTAGATGCACATACCCTCCAATCACAGAGAACTTCTGTTCTATGGCCCAGCAAGATGAGACCATCTCCAGGACATAGGGCCTCACAGTCAACCATAAACAAGAGAATTAAAACAGACGTGCATATTGTCCATATCAGAGAGGCACACAGTGAGGAAGCCCTACAACGCACATTCCATGAGGTTAGGATCAAGACATACGGATCTCAACACAGTAACACTAAGCAAAGCTTAGCAAGCACACCAAGCAAGCACAGAAGACTGTGCAGGCACAACTGCACTCAAATGATACCCACCAGCAGGGAAAAACGTACTGTGCAGTATCAAGGAAATAAAAAACATGATCACTGAAAGTAGGCGGTGGCTAATACACAAGACAGATGTGCCACACAAGAGGTACACTAGCACATTCATGTCTTATTTCACAGTGGGCAGTGAGGAGAGGTAGGCAGATAGATCTGGGGGCTCCTGCAGCAGAGTATGTTTTATACTTTCCCTAAATCTCTCTCTGTCTCTGTCTGTCTGTCTGTCTCTCTCTCTCTCTCTCTCTCTCTGTCTCTCTCTCTCTCACATACACACACACACACACACACACACACACACACTCACAAAATCTACCACACTTTCAAGATGTGAACCAGAAGACTGCTATTGCCATGAAAGAAAGAAAAGCACAAGAAGAAAAGGAGGGTGGGAGAGGAGAGGAGGGAAAGAAAAGGCCCTAACAGCATCTAGAAGGTAAGACATGGTGCCTGCAGGCCACCAGGAAAGGGACACAGCAAAGGAGGCAGCCCAAGGCCTGACAAGTTTTTATGACAAGGCACCTATGCAACTAGATACTTGACACTCTGGTATCTAGGCCTGAGTTCAGAGGACAAAAGATTAGGCTCAACCCATGGTTCACCACTGAATGGACAGGGAAGAACTCCTGATGTAAGGCATAGTCAACTATGTGAATATAGCGAACTTGCAAAAAGTCTAAGCCTGGATGGACTGCAGTGGAAAGAGCAGGAGGAGTAACAACTTCAGTGCTATTATCATGTGGGCACATGAAGCGAACTCTCCCACATACACAAAGGCTACTGGGAAAGAAAGTGAGCCAGTCAGCCTATGGGCAGACACTTGCTCAGGGTGTGGGATTTGGCATTCAAGAGGAGAAAGGGATCCTGCCCCCACCTTACATCACATAGGCCAGGTGAGGTCTGACTCGGGGGGCCTAAAGGCACCCAAAATGTGGGTAGAGCTACTCAAGGCCTAAAGATGGGCACATAAATATCTAGAAATAATGTAACTTTCTGTTGTTTTGTTTTCTTTTGAAAGACAGGGTCTCACTATATAGCCCTAATTCTAGCTGGAACTCGTTACATAGACTACTTTGATCATAAACTCACAGAGAACCACCTGCTTCTTCTTCCTGAATGCTGGGATTAAAGGTGTGCTTATTTATATTTTATTTATTATTGTTTATGTGTATGAGTGTATTGCCTGCATGTATGTGAGCACACCCATGTCGTGCAATGCCATGGAGGTCAGAAGAGGGCTTCGGATTCCCCTGGAACTGGAGTTAAGGATGGTTCACAGCCGCCATGTGGGTGCTGGGAATCAAACCTGGGTCCTCTGCAAGAGCAGTCAGTGCTCTTAACCGCTGAGCCATCTCTCCAGCCCCATGATGTGCTTATTAAAATTACATTTTATTGGCAATTTCTTACAGAGCCCAGCCATGCTGCTTTGGAAATCTGTCCATTTTTCTAAATTACTCAGAAAAGCATTAACTTTTCCTTTTCTTTGATCTCTAAGTATACTTTCCCTAACACTTTGGGCTTCCTCACTCTTTCTTTAAGGCCCCATTCTCCCACCATGTGGCCGTCTGCGACCACGTGGCTAACCTCCACGCTGCCTTAACTCAGGTGGCTTTCTTTCCCCTTCTCCATTCTCTTCTGGGCAGCCGTTGAACTGTACAGTTTGCCTAACCTGGGTTTTTTTCTTTTAAACTCTAATAAAATTGTCCTAGAGTTTTTAAAAATATATTTATTATTTATTTATTTTGTATTTAGGGGTATATTATGTATCATGACACATGTGTGGAGGTCAGAGGATACTTTTGAGAGTCCGTTCTCTCTTTTTACAATGTGAGTTCCAGGGACTGAACTCAGGTTGCCAGACTTGGCTGCAAATACATTTACCTGCTGAACCATCTCATCAGCCCAGCCTCAGGGTTTTGGTTTGTTTTTTTAAAGATACAACAGGACAGAACAAGACAAAAAACACAATAAAGTGAAGGCAGGCCATGACCGTAAGACTCCTGGGACAATACAACCTTAAAGACTTTGTTCCAAGAATATACCAGGAGCTCTACTGATCTAAATACATAAATGTGAAAATAGGAAATGAAGAATAAGGTGCTGGTGACTATAAACATTCAACTTCACTAATAACAGGAAAAGGTAAACCACAACCCATATGACTATACTCACCAGCCAGGCTACACAAGTTATACACAGCAATTCCGGTCATGGAAGCCTGTGGACAGGTAGTTGCTACCTCGGCTAGGCTGTAAGAGGCCCACTTCATCTGCAGTTAGAGATGTACGGCAGAAAATTTTCCACACAAGTGACTCTCCATCTAGGTCAAAACTGTACCTGGATACTCACACCATAAGCGGAGGACAGTAGTCATATTCACCAGCAAAGGCAACTGAGAAGTCCAGGGTGATAGGACAAGAGCTGAGCATGGAGCATTGGGCCCTGACCAAGCAGTGAGGGGCACAAAGACGAGTAGGTAGTGGTACCAAGGTAGGGGAGCAGAGTGAAGACATACAGTCAGCACATCGACCCCAGCTGGTACCTTGAGGTCCCTGTGGATGATGGGTGGCTTCTGTCTGTGCATGTGCTGCACTGCTCGGCACGTCTGGTAGAAGATCTTCAGAATGCTGTCACAGGACAAAGGACCTTTACATTCAACTCTCCTGAGAAACTCCACCAGCTGTCCTAAAGGAGACAAGTGAATTCAGTCACTCTGGGGCTCACAATGTTGTGCCCTACCTGTCAGCAGGTTGGGTTCTGCTCTGTACGTGGCAGCCTAGGCAAGGGTGGCATTTCCAAGGCCTTAGTCAGGGTGCCCATCCAACCAACACCACTGTAGCCATTCCTTCACCTCCTGCAAGAAGGTGATTTATGAGGGTGTTCCTACAACACTGGGTATGAGGATCATCACCCCCACCCTGACTCTTCACACCCAGGGAAGGAACAGGAAATGACAAGGGACAGCCCTGAGACAAAACAAAAACAATCAAGTGCAGAGCCGTGAAGGCAAGAGGGAAAAATACTTGTAGTGGCTGGGTAGAGGCAGGAATGAGGACATACAAACATGCTAGTGTCACTGAGAAAATGATCACAAAGCCAGGTACATGGCTGGTGGCAGCTAGAGAAACAACTCTGACCTTGCAGATAGTGACAGCTGGGTGGCTCCCACAGCCCTGCAGGGTCTCGTACCATACCTGGATGTTCTTGGCCCTGACCAGACCAATGAAGCCACGATCACTGGGCAAGCTGGCTCCAGTAAGTGTAGGGCTGAGGATCTGGAGTTTGGGACCCTATACACTCCTACAGGCTTCTCCAACTCAGACACCCTGTTCTTATTCTCAGGTTGTTCCAGATGCAGCTACAAGTATGCTGTTGTCCCTATCTTCTCCTCAGCTGAGCCCTTTACCCCATTTTCCACAGAGACACTCCCAAGAGACTGCTCAGTCCATTTTGGCTCCCATTCGGCAACAGGGTCATGGTCGTGGCCACAAGGTCTCACAGCCAGAGCAATAGCCCCCCACTCTTGGTAATCTTGTCTCCTCCCTGCTCCCCAGGTATGTTCCCCTCTAGTCATGCTGGTCTCCTTTTCATCCCTGCCTCAGGACCTTGACTCCTGCTGTTCCCTTCAACCCAGTGTCCTTTCCTGCTCAGCTTGCGGCCAATATCCCCTTCCCAGTTCTTCTCGGCCTGTACCACATAAAAATGGACCCCTTTCCTGCTCTTCTTGCCAGCACCATCAACTATACAGCCCTCTGCTCTAATTTCAGCTGAGTCTATCAACTCTACATGGTCCTTAGTGCATGTGCATGGCTGGCAACAGTAAGTTTCAGAAGGTACAGCAGATACTAGAGCCCTATGCATGTAAGGTGTGCTTTGTGTCTCTGGTCTCACTGAAGCTCACTCAGCCTGGGGCCTCCTGGAATTTGACTTTTGAGCAAAAGCGCTAGGCTCATGTCTACAGGAGAGTCCATGTTGAAAAGATAACTTGATCCTGCAGTCCTCACCAGTTTCCCCAGCCCAGAATGACCTCATACCCTGCTGGCAGATCCATCCTGGCTCTCAACTCTGATACAACCAAACCTTTCCCAGTCCCGACCAGACTTGTTTCACAAGATCTACACAAACTCAGAGGAACAGGGGCCCTCAGAGGAATGCTGGTGAACCAGGGCCAGGCCTCAAAGGATAAGAGCAGATATGTCTACCTGAGCTCTGTCCTGGGCAGTTAGCAATGTTGATTTTAACTGGCCTATGTTCAGTGGTTCAGAATTAAGAAATTTTGATATTTTTGAGGCAGAATTCCAAAAATCATCATGTTCCTGTTTCAAGATCCTGAGCGCTACAACTACAGGTGTATGACACCATGCCAAGTCAAGAGATTACTCTTTTTTTTTTTTTTTTTTTTTAACTTTTTATCCACTGAGCCATCTCAATGAGTCTGGACAATACATTAAAATTTTTTTTAATTTTATTTTTAAATTGTCTATATGTGTGTGTCTATCTGTATAAGGGTATGTGAATATGAGTGCAGATGCCCACTGAGGTCAGAAAAGGGCATGGGATCCCCGGAAGCTACAGTTATAGATAACTGTGAGCCTCCAGATGTGAGTGCTAGGAACTGAATTGAGATTCTCTCCAAGAGCAATTCATGTTCCTAACTGCCAATCCATATTTCCAGCCCTGAACAACACACTTTTGGTTTGGGGGGGGGGGGTTGAGACAGGGTCTCAAACTCACTATGTAGCTGAGGATGATCTTGAACTTCTGATCCTTCTGCATCCATCTCTGAGTCCTGAGACTACAGACTTGCACTAACACACCTAGTTCATATAGTGCTGGAAATCGAACCTGTCTATGGCTTCAATGAATGCTATGCAAGCACTCTACCAACTGAGCTATATTTCCAGTTGAGGTTTTTTTGTTTTGTTTTGTTTTTTTTAATACTAACTCTACATGTGGCAGAGTGGGAACTGCTAAATATCTCTTTTTCTTAGGGCTTCCCCGCCACAGATGAGGAGAGAGTCGATTTAGATCTGACAGCCTATTCATGCCAAAGGCAGGATTGAGGGCTTCCTTTGGATGCTTAAAGAAAAGACCCAGCCGGGCGTAGTGGCACACGGCTGTACTCCCAGCACTTGGGAGGTAGAGGTAGGCAGATCTCTGTGAGTTCAAGGCTAGCCTAGTCTACATAGTGAGTTCCAGGACAGCTGGGGCTACAGGGAGTCCCTGCTT